TCCGCCTCCGCTTCCGGGACTCTTTCCATTCTTCATTCTGACTTATTCTGACTTACTTATCTCCGACTTCCGAGATATTCCCACGCTCACTTATTCTATTCATATCTTCATTCCATCACGCACTTATTCATTTCCGGTTCATTTCCCTTCCGGTACATTTCTCCCCGTATTTGACTTCCATATGATACATCAACCTTTCCCGCACTTGACTCACTTATCATTCATTCATTTACTATAACCCTATATAAGCTCTATACTTCTATCCTGTATCTGGAAGACTCGAAATCAACCAGGTTTCAACCAGGACCCACCTGGATACTTCTCTATCATGTCTTTTCTTCTATCTCGCAACTTGTCCTCTTAGTCTAGTAGAAGGACAGCTCAGTTCATGGTGCTGTTGGCGAAACCTTCAGCTACTGTCTGCTCTAGATCCGTTGCTCCCACACTCCTTCATCATATCTCTTTCCTATCCATCTATCCGACAGCATATAAAATCCCATATCTTATCTTTATCCCTATCCGATCCGCACGATCCTAACAGTATTTCGAGTCTTTACCTGGACTGAGAATGCTGTCATGACTTCATATCCGAGCATCCCGGCATCTACCCGCCTTCTCCGAGATTAACTCCGGACTTAGGTTGGTTCTCGCGGTGTTCATTCCTCATTACGACACTTATGTCACTCATGTCGCCCTCACACCCCTTCCGGGGTTATCCTTCCATTCTATCCGCCACCCATACCTTGTCCCGCGTTTGGTTTAGCTCTGGGTTCTCTTCCGGCACTCCCGGCATATTCATAAATCAACATATTCATTACTTTCCCACGCTTTCCTGACATCGGACATTCCATCCTTCCGACATTCATCTCTCATCCTGACATTCACCTCACTTCATACATCCCGACAACTCTCTTCCCCGACTCAGGATCTATCCGGGACTTGATAGCAGTACTCTATTCTGTGGTTCTAACCGTTCTTAGCCTGTCTCGGATCCGGTCATCTCCACTTCGGACATCTTGACCATTTCTAGTGCACTCTGACCTCGCGCCGTGCTGCACTCTTTACGGTTTCCTTCCGGGACCATCTCTTCCGGGTTGTTGGCTCTCAGTACCACTTCCCACCTACTCGGAGTTCATTCTCCACTCGGCTTTCGCCATCTTTCCTTCCGGTTTAGCTCTCTGCTTAGTTCTTGATTCACTCTGACTCCACCGCTCGGATCCGTTGATCTCATGGTAGGCAGCAGAACACTCATATCAGAACAACAGCTGGAGTTGGATCTGCGCGCACCTCCGACTCGTACAGGTGTACTCTTGGAGGTTCACCCTTCCTCTTTCCTTCCCCGGCTTCCGTGCTTTGCTCCGACGCCATCTCATTTGGGGACTCTCTCGCCTCCGGGCCCGCCATTCTGGCACTTTCCTACCTTCGGGTATGTTTCTTTATGTCTTTATGACCTCCGGTCGCTTCCGGCTATTTACTGTTCATTACTATCATACGTTTACATCATTTATCTTCAACCTTTACACTCACAACTTTCTTCCATCTTCCTTCCTTCCTTTTCTATACCTTGTCTGAGTTTACCTCTGACATTTTCGAGTTTTTGGTTGTTCTTGCCATTTACATAATTTTCGGATGTGTTTTCTCCAACGTTCAGACTTGTTTTGGATTGCTTTTGCTTCCGCTTCGGAATTTTGCGCTTCCGACATGTCTGTACCTTCATTTATCATTTTCTACTGGCCCTTCTGCACCGCTTCCGCTTTTTTTCGCGTTTTTCTCTTCTCTTTTATTTTTCTCGGGTTACCTTCCGCCTTCCGAGTTGTTATTTCCGACTTTTGAAGGTTTACTTTGACTTTTGCTTCTGCTTCCTTCCGCTTTCCTTCCGCACTCCTTCCGAGCTGCTTCCGAGTTTTTGCACACTTTTCTCATCTCTTTCATTTTCTCAGGTTTCCTTCCGGCTTCCGCTTCTGTGCTTCCGAGTTTTTGAGTTTTAACATCGTCTTTCCTTCCGGTTTGCTTCCGCGCCGCTTTTTTTATCCTTCTCGGAAACTTTTTCTTCCGGGTTGAAATTTTACTTTGTCAATTTCGACATTTTCAAGCATTTTCTCTTTTTCTTTCCGCCGGAGGTGTTTCGGCTCCGAGCCTCGGAGATTTCTCGGAATCCGACATCATTTTTTCGGAATCTTCACTTCAGGACCTTTTTCTCCGGTCGATTTTTTGACTTCATTTCTGCCACGCACTGTCCGCTTTTTCGGCAATTGTTTTTCTGTTTTCTTTCCTTCAGTTTAACTTCTTTTCGAATACTTTTTAGTATCAAATTTCATCTATTATTTACCTATTTTTCATACAGATCATTACTTTCTCACGCCTATCACTCTCTTTCAATTCTTTTATTTTCTCTTCATCCCTCCCTCCCTCCCCACTACGTTGGATAACTCTCATTGGTTCTTGGGGCAAGAACCTTAAGAGGGGGATACCGGTATCATCTCGCCTCACTTCATGGTCACTCAGATCATTTTAGGTCATTCAGCCACCTTTTCGGCACTTCAGCCACTCTCTAGTCATTTCGACATATCCTTCTCGGCTACCGACCTCATCCTCTCCCCAGTCGCATCTCATGCCTTCTGGACTCCTGCCGGATCCTTCCCAACCTAGTTTCACACCTTTCCTCATTGTGCGTACTTCACCCATACTGTTGTATTCACATTCTACTTCACTACTTCTATCATTCTATTCATTCACTTATCCACTTCTACCATCCCATCCCAATACTTATCCCAATTATCTACCTATTCCCTTCTATCACTTTGTCCCTTATCATCCTATTATCCTTCTACCTATGTCTTATCATCACTTCATCCCTTTCACTTTATCATTTCAATCACCTACCCAATTCTTATCATCCCTTCATCCCTTTTCACCTTATCATTTGTCCACTTATCACCTTCTATCATTTTATCCCTCCACACCTATCTCCTCACTCCATCATTCCTTGTTGGGCTTTTGCCTGATATTCCTATCCTTTCTCTATCCTTCATTCATCTTCACTCTCATGGCTATTCCTTTGGTCATTGTTCATACACATATCCTTTCTTCCCTTTGCTGCACCCTTACTTGTGTATGCTATCCAGAACCTTTGGGGACTGGTGTTAACTTTTCTCTTCATTTACAAGTTTTCACATTCTCTCTATCTTTTACCCTTATATTTCATATCTTTGGTCTGCTTCTCAGCCAAGATTCTTGCCTTTGCATGTTATACATTGTTTTACACTTTGTAGGCTTATCTTTGGCTGGTTTTTCCTGTCCTCTCTCTTCTCTCCACTTCCTTTGTCCTCACTTTCGCATTTTTGCCCTTCTTCTCTCTTTACTTATCTTCACTGTTCTGCTTGACTTATGTTGGGCTGAATTGGTGGGGGCTTACTTGTCCTTGTCTTTTCTCTTTCTGTGCTTTCATCTTCTCTTCCCTGTCACTGCCTATCTCTTTTCTTTCACCTACATCCTTCACTCACGGACTACTCTTGATGGTTCTTGTGGGCAAGAACCTTAAGAGGGGGATACTGTTACATCCATGCATCTTACCCTGGTCTATCTCACCTAGTCACGTCACACTTGGCTAGTCACCTCACCTCCAGACCCATTCCGGGTACTTCTGGGCTATTATTCTAGTCCATTCCAACACTATTCCATCCCCGGCACTCAACCTTCACTTCCGCACTTCGGTCTCTCACACCAAGTCCATCCCCGGAACCTCCGCCACTTCCGCCTCCGCTTCCGGGACTCTTTCCATTCTTCATTCTGACTTATTCTGACTTACTTATCTCCGACTTCCGAGATATTCCCACGCTCACTTATTCTATTCATATCTTCATTCCATCACGCACTTATTCATTTCCGGTTCATTTCCCTTCCGGTACATTTCTCCCCGTATTTGACTTCCATATGATACATCAACCTTTCCCGCACTTGACTCACTTATCATTCATTCATTTACTATAACCCTATATAAGCTCTATACTTCTATCCTGTATCTGGAAGACTCGAAATCAACCAGGTTTCAACCAGGACCCACCTGGATACTTCTCTATCATGTCTTTTCTTCTATCTCGCAACTTGTCCTCTTAGTCTAGTAGAAGGACAGCTCAGTTCATGGTGCTGTTGGCGAAACCTTCAGCTACTGTCTGCTCTAGATCCGTTGCTCCCACACTCCTTCATCATATCTCTTTCCTATCCATCTATCCGACAGCATATAAAATCCCATATCTTATCTTTATCCCTATCCGATCCGCACGATCCTAACAGCCACTTATGCTAAAATCTCCCCGCATAAAGCTCAGCATCGTTCTTGCATATCTCCAGAAGCTTACGCAATCCTGCACTCAGTGGTAGTTGGAAAGAAAGAGCATTTGTCACAAGGTCACACATGCTCATGACTGGATATACACTCCCAGGGTGCAATCTCTGCAGCAGCTACAGTAGTCCCTTTTTCCGGCAACCGGTTATGACTTTACCTTTGGTTCGGAGTCTCTGGAACAGAGAGTATTTATGTTGTGTAGAGCACAAACCGTCAGGATTGGGTGAAGCATCTGAATAAATGATATGAAGCACCGGCGCTGGTTACGGAAACATAGACAATGGGGGAACTGCGATGATGGTGGTGATTTAACGAGGTTGCCCTCGCCATGTACCCAACAATCGCATCTGTTCTGGTCGCAGGTAGATGAGTAAAAGAACCCCATTTGTAGAGCCGACTAAGTAATAAGGGGCGATGGTCCAAGGTCATGAGGAAAACCCAGAATCAGTACCGACATCAACCGAGAAACAAACGTACTGTACCTGCGCATATCCGGATCTGGATCTAGATACGAAAGGTCATATCATTCATTCGGTGCTGAAAGAAGAAGTGAGGAGTGGCCGTCGTTCTGCGTGATTGAAAGATATGTGGACCCAGGAAGATTCAAGGTAGGAACTCATGGCCATAACCTATATAGTTTTCGTCGCTTTCATCTGGTTCGATGGCGTAGTTGGTTATCGCATCTGTCTAACATTTGGTGTCTCCAAGCAAATAGCGCACAGAAGGTCCCCAGTTCGAGCCTACTATATTTGCACTAGAAGTGCAAAAAGAAATGTCGCTATAGAAAAACTTTTTCATCTCTTTCCCGTTCGCGCTACAACGTTGTAGACTCACACTTGGTATGCTGAAGTCTACCTCTGTGAAGTTACAGATTTTTTAGAGTGAAAATGAGCGATGCCAGAACAATCCGAGAGAGGTGTTCGAATAAGCGGAGAAGTGCAAAAGTGACAGACCGTGACGTTTGGCTTTGACAGGTAGATCCGACCTAGCCGAACGATCGGCAACTTTGACATGGGATCAAAAGAGCACCTGTCGGCTTGCTGAGTTTGAATCCATTGTGCCTGTGTGGTTGGCGTCCTCGAGAGTCCATTCATCCCACTCATTATAGAGGCTCGGGTGTGTGCGGTGAAAGTGTGAAATCATCCCGCCTATACGAGAATCATTATTGAGGAAGTGCGGTCCCGTAAAATTCTTTTTTTATGGAATCCGAAGGCTGTCACGCCCAAAAACTCACGATTTGCGCCAAAACAAAAATCTGCAACTCGTATTTCCTCATGGATCACCATTCAACATAGCAAGATATGTGGATATAGGTCCCATTGTATCTAGAAAAATTTGTGGAAGCCAGCTGGTTGGGATAGATGGCACACTACTCGAAATTCACGAATTTTTGCACTTCTAGGACACTTTTCACTTCTAGTGCAAATATAGTAGGTCGAATCAATCTTGTTGTCCCAACGTTCACTTTTAATTCGTTGGCTTACTTTGAGGTGTCCCAAGCTTTGCAAGTCAGAAATCGCAAAGTGTGATGTTTGTCTGTGTTACTTTCTTATTGTAACTCGTTAAACGATTAGGAGAGCGCAGAACGTTCGAGTTTTTGCCGTACGGGTGAGTCTATATTCCGTTCGGTGTCCCATTGCATCAAGGAGCACTTGGAATGAATGCAGATGCCGAGGTATCATCAATGCGCGAACAAAATTGAGACGATAACGACGGGAGGGAAGGGGGTATGGAGACCCACAAGAGATGCAAATGGAAACTAGGAGGGCGAGTTAGAGTAGGTGACAATGCAATCAGAGAGAAAGGGAGAACTCAATGCAAAGCTTGAGATCCAAATTTTGGTATAATCATACGAAGAGATTGTGCATTAGTAGCCCACTTGGCCGCTATTCCAATCTCTGAATTGCATATCGCTCATCGTGGCATGCTGTGAATGAAAATCAACAAGTTGACATCCGTTGAAAAGTGTCGCCGTCGGACAGATTGATGCTTTTTCAAACGCCAAATCCGTGCCGCTATCGGATCGTAGTCAGACGCCATGCCATTTCACCAGGCGGCCTACCGATTTATATGTCGCGGTACAGTTAAGACTCAATCTCTCAGGCCTTTTGAATCAATCTCAGGACTTCCAAACGTTCAGGCTCTTGATTCAACTTTTGTGATAAGAACACTCAACAGTAGTCTGTTGATCTTCGGTCGTGATAGGCCTTCAAAGGAAATGGCTCGAGCGGACACGGGAGTCTAACTGGAGCCTCGAGTTAAGAAGGAGGCTTAGGATACAATCTTTTACGTGTACAACAGCATATCGTATCTATGTAGCTATGTTTTCCAGAGTTTCTTAGCCAGCTTGAGCCCTATACGATTTGATCCCAATTTTGTCCGTTTTTCTTGCTTCTCCGCTGCCTGCGGAGAGCCCTGTCGGATCTTATAGCCGACGTATAACTCTCCACTCGGATACCCCACCACTTTGATCGCCAATCTCCCCGCGTTCTGAGCCACCACCAAGCCATCAAGATCCCTCGACGACCGCTTCAGTACACTCTCCGGAACCTCAAGCACCACGGACTCGAGAAACGCCACACGAGAAAGGACTGCCTGTTCAATGACGTTTAGAATCCGGCTCTCGCACGGTTCGGCGGTAATGGAGATTCGCAAGGTTCGCAACGAAGGAAGGAAGTCCAACTCAGGGTGCCCGAGTTCCTCGAGGCAAGTCCACAACTCCGAAATTCGAGATCTGGATGCTGATCCATCGAGTATACCCGCGTCTCGAATGCTGAGCTCCTTTAAGGTTGATGAGCATGCGGTGAGAAGTTTTTTCAAGGAAGCGTCGGTTATGTACACCTCCTCAAGGTCTAAACGAACGAGCTTTCCATTTGTGCCATATGTGAACGGTTCGGTCACGGTTTCCCAGAACTCGGTGTGATGCGGTGGGTCTGTGAGATCTTTGGAATCATCACTGCAGAGTTTGAGAGTCTGGAGGGATGGGTATGTCACGAGTGTAAACAGGGGGAGAGCGGTGTCGTAGCCTACACGCTGAAGAGGAAATGTGACTGAAAGTGCTCGTAACATCGGAAGGGATATCGGATAACTGGCCGTAGGAATGATGTACCATTCTGGAAGTGTTCCGGGGAGGACCGGATCGATTGATCTCGTTCCCTTTGATGCGAAGGTGATGGTTAAGGATACTAGGGCTGGGCATGAAGATAGGACGTGGTGAACGTCGATGTGGCTGTAAGCCTTAAATGTCAGAGAGTGGAGCTGGGTGTAAGGGATCATGGTAAATTCTCGGGTGAACGTGGAAGGAGACCAAAAATCACATTGGTGTACCTGGAGCTCTTTTAGGTTCGGAGCGTGTGTGTTATTGAGTAGGTGCTGCAGTTGACTGTGATTATAGGTACCGGTACCGACAGAGGGAATACTGAATGATAACGATTCAAGGATGGGTAGGGTGTATTCTGGATGTCCCTCCCAACCGCTGTCGTTGACAACCCCGAACGGAACGGTCTTCCATAAGGAATTTAGACTGGACATATCGAGGCTTTTTAGCCGGTGAGAATGAGTTCGGACGATATCAAATATCTGTAGCTGGGCTGCACTGGCACCGGAGCCAAGGGGAATGTTAACGTGTCCAGGGAGTCGGATCGAGAGAGGAACTGTGCCAGAGAGTTCAAGGTGCTGAAGGAGAAGGGTTTTGAAAGCAGGGTAATCGGATATATTACTGTCAGATCTCGTTATGGTTAGGGAAGCCCAAAGCTCTGGCATACACCTAGTGAGTGCTCGCCATCGGGAGCAAACTTGTGATAAAGAGAGCGGTCGCGATGTTACTTGGGCCAATGCTTTTCGGGACGGAGAATTGAAGATTGCACCTTCGGGGAGTGTCGTAAAGGAGAAAATGACGATGAGAAGCTCGTTTGGAAGATCATTTATGTTGAGCGTCGGTGTTGCACTTTTGGTTTCTGAATGGGCCGGTGAGGGACTGGATTCGAGCTTCTTTCGTAGAAGTGGCCATTTCATTGCCCCCGTGGTGCAATCGGGACGACAAAGGTTCGGGACCTGAAAGGCCTCGCGCGTGTTTAACTTGCCTTTAAATAACTGAGCGTACCTCCAACACAGCCTTTCTGTAAACTATTTGGAGTTACGGCATGAATAAGTTCCCCTTTTTGAGTGTGGGACTGCCCTGAAAAGTTATCTCTTAATAAATCGGTCCCGGAAGAGGGTCTTGAATAATTCTGCCTGTAAATAGATCCGATGTACGTATGATGAAAGGGTAGACGATATCAGTCTACAGCATCTACCCCACCGAGGTCCATATCCATCAGGCACTGGGATTCTTAAAAATGGCCCATTTAACTCGACGTAAAACGCATTTTGGCGCAAACAGAGCTGGTTCTTTGGAAAATCGAGACTTCTTGTGTCATCCGAAGATGAGGGCGAATATTGATTGTTCGTTGCCAACCAACAATGCCATAGCCATGGCGTATATCGCTTAAAGTAGTACTTTTGACAGTAGTGCTCTACTACCGAACACTTTCATCAATGGCGGTTGATACATCTCCCAACTTGTTCGACGTCATATCCGACCCCGCTATCAACTTCCGCGTTGAGCGCGATAGTGAGCATTCCGACTCGGGCGAGGACATCCCCACAAGGTCGTGTGAGCACCAAAAGTCGGGCCGTTGAAGGAAGATAGAATCTGAATCTCGCGGATAAAGAGGTATATAAATGGCATCGAAATGTACAACAGGGCATGAGGAAGGCATGGGTATACAAAGGAAACCAAAACGTCTAAACAAGGCACCCAAAATGAAGTAGAACTAAAATCTTATCGCATCAAGAACTGCTAAAAAAAGCGAGGAACTATTCAATCGACATCGAGGGCTTTGGACAGGTAATAAGCTAACCTCAGTTGACAGCGATCAATGCCATCTCCTTGCGTCTTGAAAGACACTAGGGTGTGAACCAGGTCTGATGAGAATTTCGCTGCAGAAGCCACATAACGGTTAGAACGCGTGGTCCTCGGACGGCGCAGCAAGATAGACGTACTCGATGACGTCGTCAAAACGTGATAGAGAACATCTTACTTGCTCTGTCGACTTGTCTTCATCAAAAGGTTCGTCGTGGATTTGAGGGATGATGGCTGAACGCGAGGATTCAGACGATTAGATGAGGATGATGAGAAAGTGAGAAAGCTCGAGACATACATTCTTCCTCGAAGATAAAGTCAAATGAAACAGTTGGAGCGCTCTCTTCGAGGGCAAATTGGTAGATAGTGGGAGCTGCGTGGTCAAAATGAGTGATCAGACAAGAAGAGAATCCAATAACAACCCACCAGATCCATCATCCCTCTTAAACCTCTTAGCAAAAGCGAGAGGACTGTGTTCATTGGTCATTTTTGTGTTAGTTGGAGGCTAGGTCTTGTGGGATAAGTGGTAGAGAAGACCGGAAGAGGACTTGCTGAGGGAAAAGAGGTGAAATTCTTCAACTCTTATATATACATCATCAAAAGACGCGTACAATGATGATGTGCTTGTGATCCATGAGATCATACCCTCGTACCCGCCTCTGGTGGGTCTAGTTCGCGTAAAACGAGTTCTTCGGAAGTTTAGAAGATCCAATGAAAAAAAGGAAAGGATAATCTCGGTGTATCCAATACGACGGATGCTCGTCACGGTAGACCGCTTTCAGCCTGTCGGACATTACGGGGTTTGACTCTGGGCTCGTACGAAAAAACGTGTTCTGGGCGGCCTTTCATTGACA